GCCCAGGTACTCTCACACTACTGGTACATCATTAACTGTTGTCTTACCCTTTCTCCTGGGTATCCATGACATAGGCGGCATATCCTGCACAACCTTGTTGAAGGTGGCGCCTTGCTCTCCTTGCTAAACATAAAATCAGTCCGTGTTGTGGCCTCTCGCCCTGGATCACTAACTCTCCCCCACTAGAAGTGCAAACCCTCACTAACTGCTACTCACAGTCAATCACCGCCCCATTGGGGCTTATCCAATCAATACCCGTTATAACCTTATTCTCATGCATGGGAATAGAAACCAGGTCTACTGAAAACTGCTAATTGAATAACTGTAGAGTACATCCTCTATGAACCCTCGTGACCCTGACGGTCCTGTCATCTGCTATCTCCACATCCAATGGGCAACCCAGCTCCCCCGGAGCTCCTACAAATCATTTGTTGAGTGCAAGCGACACAAAAGATCAGGTGACACCCGAATCAAACAGTACCAAAGCTAATATACCGTTCACTAGGAACAATCCTATAATAAAACACATAAAACATGAGCGACAATCAAGATAAATAAAGAGATAATGAGAGAATACATACCAATCACAACATCGGGAGCCGCACGTACCTCCTCTTCAATTAGCTGAAAAGCCCTGCTCCTCGTTGTGGGCGCCTCAGCCCGGCCCTAACGGCCATCTATAATCCTCAGTGTGGCAGGAGCAGGTGCCGCCACATGTCCTGCTGCAGCTAAACTTGGGCATTGGGACTACTTGTGTCCCCTCTGATTGCATTGAAAACAAATCAAATTTGATCCTATCGTAGTGGTAGCAGTAGTACAATCCCTGCTCATATGACTAGTTCGGCCGCACTTGAAGCAGCCCGAACTCCCTGTCTTGCACGCCCTCTCATGCATCTTGCCGCATTTGCCATGCCGGTTGCGGCCCTGCCGGATTCTCGATTTGTGCTCTGACACCTTGGGCTTCTTGCTCAACAAACTCCTAGGGGCTATACCAAACCCATCTATGTCATCCACTTGAAAGTTTCACTCTCACTCTTGTAAATGACACAAACATACAACAACACTCTGAAGATAAAAGAAGACTTTGAAGTTTTCTTATGTTGGTTTATAAAGAGATTGGCCGTTGGTTAATTAGTAAACATAAAGAATTTCACCGAGACTTAGATCAACTCATATCGAAGGGGATCTACACAAAATGCATGGGGATACATGTCATAAGTAGAGGTTCATTTATATATTTTATTACTTATTTGAAAACATATGAAACTTTGTAATTATTTCCTTTAGTATATATATATATATATATATATATATATATATATATATTATATATATATATATATATATATATATATATATATATATATATAAAGCATGAGGTCGTTTAATTTATAATCATATAAAGTTAGAAACGTGAAACATAAACATATAAAAATACATAAAGAAATATTAAACACATAAAATACATAAAGAAAGGGCCAAACATTAACTGAAATTGGAATTAAAACATAAAGACAATAAAAAAAAACATAAATGCATAAAGGTATAGAGAAACAACCATAAAAACAAAAAGAAACGACAATAAAATCATTATTAAAATCAAATTCATTGTGGTGTTTATAAACCAAATAGAATATGAAATCGAATTTCAATTTCATTTTCAGCTAACCAAATAAAATATAAAACTGAATTAAAATTTCTAACAGGTTCCACTTCTTTTATAATATTTTCAGACTAACTAAACTTATATAAAAGAATTACAATATTAATGTCGCAGTATAAACACTTTGAAATTTTAAATGGATTGGAGATGGCCAAAACAATATATGAGGGACCGTAGTGTAATTTACTCAAAAGGAAATGAAGTCCCGGGTGAAAAGGGGGGAAATTTGCTACTACATCAGCCAGCCCTACTCTCCCAAAAACACAGCGACAGCGGAACTTGAAGAATGCCATCGTTTCCTCATCCAGGCTCCGTTACTGTATGCGAAATCAACAGAGACCTAAGTATAACTTCTCTCCATAATGCGTATAATCTACAATGGATTTCGAATTCATTTGCTGATTTTATATGGAATCCATTGTCATTAACAAATTTCAACTTCTGTTTTGACTAATCATCAGTTACCGCTGAAAATCTTTCGGAGGATCAAGCGAAGGAAACTTATGGAAAAGTTCTTGTAAGCTTTTCATCCCTTTTATATATTGATTACCATCAGCGATTGGGAGATTGATATTCTATAACATTTAGGGAGTAGTATTCAGTCCAATTCCGTATCAGTTAGATTATCCAGCGTCGCCACATCCAGATAGAGGCGTAGAACTTCCAGTGAATCGTTTATCGCGTTTACTTCAAGCAGTCTCTTATGGTCCTCTTAAAAGCCTTCTGGGTCCTGATGATGTAAGTATCTCGTATACTATCGTATAGAGTAGTATATTTTGTGCCTAAATTAGGGCTCATATGACTCAAATTAGTGCATTCAATTCCACTAAGTTGGTGTTTGAAGTGTGATTTCCAAGCTCTCGAAATGGATTTGGAATTCTGTAAAGTGTAAACATCATAAATTTGAATTTTGTATCAGCTATGGATTGATATTTGCTTTAACTGCTGCTCATCATGAATTGTGAGCTGGTAATTTTTAAATTCCATTCCAAAGTTATGAAAATAGAGTTCCAGAAGTTCTGAAATGAAAATGTAAACATCTTACTCATGGAAGATGACAACTGTGAAAATTTAGATATTACATAGTAGGTGAAACAAAGATATAACGCTACTTCACACACAAATAACAATTTTGTCTCTGCAATGTTGATAGGTGTGCACTCTTCTCTAGTAGTAGCTCTCACTTTTACATCTTTGGATTTGTATCTCTGTGGTATGGATGATGTGAAATTGTTTTACTATTACATTGATCACAAACTAGGTAGTTCTACTGAATCAACTTTTTGGTTTCATTTTGAAACTCTGCAGTAAATATCCACTACCATTCTCTTATACCAACACTTTTTCCTGTCAATTCCTTGCTTCCTAGACATGTTACAAATACTTGCTACATAATCAAACGTCTGGATTTTTTCTAAACACAATGCCCTTATACCCATCATTGTGCATTTTTTATTTTGATAGCATTATAGCAAGTCTTTCTTTAATTACTTCTACCTGAACCTAATATAAATATAGCTGAATGAACCAAAAGATAAGATATAACCACTAAGATGCACATAAATGAGATCCAGAAATGAGTTATTATTTATTAACACAAAAGAGCATACTTGGCAGATTAAAGAAGCTCGTCCTTGGTTTACTGCAAGGGGATCATGATTTATAAGTTTTTTTTTTTTTTTTTTCATTTGTAAGCATGCACATGTGGTCTAATTTTGTTCTTGTTAATTAAAAATTCGTAGGTGAAATTATTGCCACATGTTGATCTCAAATGTGTTAGTTGGCACCAAAAAAAGGATATTCTGGCATTTATTTTTGCACGGAATCAAGTAACTATTCGTGATTATGGAGACTCAGGTGAGAAACTTACTGAAATGAGCAAGCAAAACAGTTGATTTGGTATACTCTCCAGATTCATTCACAATCTTGAGATCTGATTACTTGGTTGTTCACCTTTTTTTTTTCTATTAGGAGAAGGCAAGGACCCCTGCATTCTGATGAATGATCTTCAAAGGGAAGCTAAGCTCTTGGAATGGAGGCCAAATGCTGGGAAGACACTTTCAGTAGGCTGCAAGTTAGTATATTTGACATCCATACCCTTGTACTCTTGGCATGTGGAAGCTCATGAGTTTCTATTAATGTATAAACAGGGGTGGAATTTGCATTTGGTCTGCTTCATATCCTGGAAATACTGCATGTGTTAGACCTGGGGTTAATTCTGGCAGCCAGTCTAGAGGTTCTGGAGTTAGATGGACTCTTGTGGATTTTCTTCGAGGCCATGGCGATGAACAAATAAGTGCACTCTCATGGAGTCCTGATGGAAGATATCCTAATTAGCTTTTGTTTTGCTTGCATGCTGGTTTTCTTATTCAGTGCTACTTGGATCCGTTTTGAAATTTTGATTTTTAGAGTCTTTTTGCATGACCAAATTTATAATGCTTCCCTTAACGTATCTTCACATATGTGGCTTCTGCTTCATATGCGAGCTCATCGTTCACAATATGGGATTTTGCTCAAGGTATATTCTTATGCATGTTGAGTTTTTCAATATACCCCAGAAAAATAAATTATGACTATGCTCTTGTTGGGTTTTTTTTTTTTAAAAGGAAGTTAAAGGCGTATTTCTCTTTTCATATGTAAAAAAGCTAATGTATTAGAACTTACTAGAGATTATGTTAAAAAGATGATCTTTGTCCACATATTGAGCTTGATATAAACAAATTGTTGTTGTGGGTATTTGTACAGGGGTGGGCACACCCATTCGGCGAGGATTAGGGAGAATATCACTGCTAAAGTGGTCTCCTACTAGAGATTACTTCTTTGCTGCAAAATTGTAATGTCATTTATCATTGGACTCAGATCTATATTCAGTTGATATATTCATTCAAGACACATATTAAAAAAAACTTTGGCACTAAAGCAATTATCATGATGTTATGTAGTGATGGAACATTCTATCTGTGGGAGACAAACACATGGACATCAGAACTCTGGTCTTCAACAAGTGGCTTTGTCACGGTTAGTTTTTATTGCATATACATCACACAATATTGCTCTGGTGCATGTAGATATGATATGTCATGTAAAATTGTTGTAGTATGTTTTTCTTGACTTTTAAATATTCTAAAGCATGTTTTTCCACTGTAGCCTGCAGCTAAGTGATTTATCTCCTTGATCTCTGATTTATTTAGATGTTTTGGTAATTGCTGCTATATATGTAGGGAGCAGCATGGGATCCTAATGGGCGAATGATTCTTATTGCTTTCTCTGAATCCTTAACATTAGGTTCTGTTCACTTTGCTACAAAGCCTCCATCACTTGGTATGTGTTGTTATCTTCTCTTTACTCTGTACTTACACTGATTTGACTGAAAGTGGCATTTCTATCTATGCTTGTGTTTGATCTGAAGTTGCTAGAGTTTCAATACCTTTTGATATTAATGTTAGATTTATGTTGCTTCTTTGGAGTTGGCCTTTATATATCACCATTCTTTATTGTTGTCTAAATTCCATATTTGCCATTTCTCATGATGATTTTCATTTTCCTCAGATGCACACCTGCTACCTGTTGACTTGCCAGAGCTGAAATCTTTGACCAACAGGTAATTACAAAAGTTGCCTTCTGTTATCTATTCATTCTAGTGCTTTATTATTATTATTATTTTCTTTTCTTGATCAATAAACTTTTATTGCTGATAGCTTCATCTAATTTACTTTTCAATGTAAAAGTAAAACATATGCAACTTACACCTTCTTAAGTTATGGCAAAATTTGTAGAAGATTGCATATGTTTTTAGGTAATGGTTGTTGAAAGCCGTTGGTATATGTATAGGTATAGAAGCATGATTATCTGTCCTGTTTATATTTGGTGTTATCTTTGTACATAATATAATTTTTTGATGACTACTAATAAAATTTAGCAGAGGCAAAGTAAAGAATAAATCCTTATCTCGTTTGTAAGTTGTAATTGATAATTGATTGATATGACAGTGGAGGTATTGAGAAGATAGCATGGGATGCTACAGGGGAGCGTTTGGCTGTGTCATATAAAGATGGAAACGAGGTGTACAAGGGTCTCATCGCCATATATGATGTTAAAAGGGCCACAATCATAACCCCCTCATTAATGTATGTCACTCATTTTCATTCTTTGCATAATAATAATAATTAATAAAAGACTTATTATATCCTGTCAATATAACATATACTAGTATATTTTCTACATAACAACAAACTATACCCAAAAAGGTGGGACATGGTTTTTGTCTGCAAAAGTGAAAAGTCTCATCCTCGTCATTGAAAGTTGAAAGTAGTGTTTGTTTTCATTTTTTTTTTTTTTTTTTTTTTTTTTGGAATTCAGTGGGTTCATCAGAGGGCCTGGAGAGGACCCGAAGCCTCTAACATTTTCATTCCATGACAAGTACAAACAGGGGCCCCTGTTATCGGTTGTAAGTATTGTATTTCTAGCACCCATTTTATCAATTTAGCCACTCATACTCAACTATTATTAAAATAATTAATAAATAATGTTTGTAATTATGCATTGCAGGTATGGAGCACTGGAAGTTGTGTCACCTACCCCCTCCTGATTCGTTCCCATCTCCTTGCTTAGCCCACCTCACCTATTTTCAATTTTCTTCACTTGTACACTTTCTCTCCAGTTTTGCAGCAATCACGGGCATTTGATTTGTAAAATATTATCAGAAGGAATGGAATCTGTGTCAAAGGATTTAATTAATTATATATATGATTGGGTATTTTGGTATTTTAACAAATAATGGAATTGAATTGAATTGAATTGAATTATTTCCAAACATGGAAAGAAAATCTCAAGGACCAATTAACTTCCCTTTATTTGGCATCAAATGAATATTGAATTCCTGATCAATATGTTTGATAGCGACCTAGTGGTTTATCCTTTATCCTAATCAGATGAGAAAAAGTTATAAAATGTCAAGTAAAAGATTGATTGATTGTTTAATCTTCCAAGTCAATTTAATTCGTGTACACAATTTCACTTTTTAGAAACTTTATCTATGGATTGAACTGAAGGAAAAGATTGCTTCCACGCTTGGACATAACCCGATATAGATTCATCATTTTGTTTAGTTCAGCCCATAACTTTACTAATTAAAACTGGTAATTTTTAAAGGCATTGTTTAGACGAATTCATAAGTGATATTTAAAAGTATTAATTAGAAAATATTTATACATATTTCCTTATAAAATATAAACTTTTGTATATATCTTCTCATTGGGCAATATTAAAATATTAAAAGTATGAAACCATACATCTAATACCTAATTAATTAACAAACGAAACGTTATACTGATAAAAAAAATATCAAAATAAACGAGATCAAAAGTTTAACAAATACAAAAACTGTATATAAATAAAATCCATGATAACATTTGCAATTTTTCATACAAAATAACTAACATTGATTCACACAAACAGAACATAAGGATTGTTTTGCTTTGTCATATGTAACAAATTAGGCCTAAGGGTTCAAAGAGTTGTTTGAATGTGACATCGAAAGTGATTAATCTTATTATTTTTATAATTTAGAAAATATAAGGTCATGTCCCAGATTTTAATGGTATGCAGGGTATGGACTAAAAACATTTGAAAAATAAATGGAACGAATTATACAGGATTTTCATTCGAACCATATCCAAAAATAGTAATTTACTCCGGTAATTAAATGCAAAATTTTGGTGAATGAAGATATAACCTATGGCAGCAAATGGGGGTGGGTTGGTGGGGTCCATTAACTAATTAATTTTTGTGGAGATGGATAAGCTTTGCTTACGTTAAAGCAAAGACAGAATATAGCATCTCTGAAGCCTCTAAAATTCAAACCAAACAATCAAATCATTAATCCGTTCACAAAACGCCTTTCTACCATTTCCTCAATCAACAGCGCACACATGACACATTTCATTTAAAGGATCTTCATCTTCATCTTCTTCATTTAAAGGCCATCTCTCTAACTCTGTAAGAATCTTCTTTTCTTGTCTTCAATTTCATCACTAAATAATTAATGATATGCTCTTTTCTGTAACGATCGATGTAATTAAACATACATACATACAGATACAATATTGCTTTTTCTGATGACTATACAGTATCAGTAGCTAAGTGCAAATTTGGATCCTCAATTGCTTGTTTTGAGAATATTTTCCTGTCGTTGCTCTTTTTGTGTTGTTTATTGAGAGTTGACTTTTAGTTCTGATTGAATGACTTTCTTTGGCTCTTCAAAACGAACTAACAATTGCTATTCACCTTCTTCAATTCTGTAATCGATGAATGATTTTTTGCCCGATATCTACTTCCTTCAAGGCTTCAACCCCAAAGTTACGCACCTCCATTGAAATTTTTAATTCTAAAAAATAGCTACAAGGCTTCCATTCGATAGTCAAAATGTGATTATATTGTCACCAAATTATGTTATTTTGTTATGAAAATATTAAACATATAGTTTTTTGATTTAATGGTATTAAGATGTGATTGGAACCATAAATAAAGATGGATACAAGAACAGCTGTTGGTTGGTATATCTCGCATTGGTGTGACATAGTCTTATATGTTGGAGGTCCTTTCTCTGTAAAGGCTTTTTTGGAGACTAAATCTAAGGACTACATGTATATATCTTTTATGGTATTAAAGTTGACATTTAGCACCCTCATTAACCGACACATCCCTCTATCATCTTTGAGTCTCCGTCTCTATAGGAGTGTTAACATATCATGGCAATATGATCTATATATGTTGGATTCATCCATCTCTTCATACAAACTCTTTTGGTGAAATAATCTTAGGTTGTATTTGGCGCGCTACAACTAACTGATAAACTAGTTTATTTTTGTGTTTCTTAGATATCATGTTTGGCAAACAAAAAGTAGCTTATAAACTATCTTTTTAAAAATCTACTTATACTAGCTTTTAGGAACTTTTTTAAAATTTTTCAAATATACCCCTTAATTAATTATATAAATATATTCTTTTAAATGTTTTTTTTATGTCATTTTATATTTTTTAGCAAGTTTTTCAGTTAGTTTTTAGCTATCAACTAACCTTTTTATTTAACAAATAGTTTTTCAGCTATCAACTAGTTGTTCAGCTAGTACGTCAACCATAGTCTTAGACTCTAAAATATCTCTTACACTTCAATCATTAACATTATCTTTTACACCAAATTGATAAAAACTACTACCATTAAATCATCTCAAACTCATTGCATTATATCTAACACCAAAAAGAATACATTTTTTTTAGAATACACTTCAATCGTTAACATTGTCTTATACACCAAATTGATAAAATTGGCAACATTAAATTGTCTTAAACAAATTACACCATATTTAACACCCTAAAAAATTAAATGGGTATGTTTGCCAAAACTAGTTGAAAGTTGAAAACTATAATTTTTGTTTGTGTGAAATTGTTTGACAAAGTAGCTTAAATGACATAAAAATAAAAATTATTAACTCATCAAGTTCTCGAAAGCTATGAGTTTTTTGTATTAAAATAAAAGTTTTAAATTCGTACTTCTTAACGATATTTGTCTTTAATTCTAATTGTTTTTCTTAAAAACTTCTTGCCGAAAATACACTACATATATTCCTCTTTATCTATCTTTTATAGTTTTTTAAACAAAACAACCCTTATATTCATTAACTTTTACATATATTTTATTACAACAAACCATGAGTTTAGAAACATCGAGCACAGTGTGTATCAAATTTAGCAATACACATTACTATTGTATCTTGAGAATCAACATTACAACCATTTTTTAAAAGGATTCTTCCAATCATTTTCAAAATAATTTCAATTGTCTTTTCTTTATAACTAGAAATTGTCTCTTCTCCGCTTCGCGAGAGACGAAGTCCGAGAGTCTATTTATGTCCGCTTTGTGGGGTGTAATATATAAATTTTCTATTATTTTTTAAACACGTAGACCATACGTTGTAAAAAAAATTATGCATAACGACCTTTTATGTAAATTATAGGGACAATTTTGTAATTTATTTCTACACAACGACTAAATTTGCCAACATACGAAAGTATTGTGGCCAAAGTCTTAAACCCATAGAATATATTATTTAAGCACATGGACCATTTCTATAAAAAAAATTTGCACGAAAAGCTTTTTTGTAAATCATAGATACAATTTTTGTAATTTATTTTCTATACAGAGACCAATCATGTCAACTGTGACCAAAGTCTAAAACTCGGACGTAAAAAAATGGACAAGGACCTGTTCTGTAAATACATGGACAACTATTGTAATTTATTTTCTATATATGGACTAAACTTGCCAACATACGAAACTATTGAGGCAAAAGTCTGAAAGCAAAAACTTTTGTGGTAAAACTCAAAAAGAAAAAACTATACTATTCATATATATGTTACTTTTTATAATTAAAAGGAATACTTTTATAATTTATTTTCTATATAATTATAAACCTGCCAAGTATTGTAGTCAAAATTTAAAACCAAAACGTAAAATAAATAAATATATAAATATATAAAAACAAGAAAAAATTTTGTAATTTATTTTTCATATAAAGACCAAACCTGTCAATATATAAAATTATTAAGGTAAAATTCTAAAAACCAAAACTTTGTGGTAAGCAAAAGAAAAATATTATTCATGGATTGCTTTTTATCATATGTAATAATTTATAATTGTATTGTAAATGTTATAGACATATCAATTAAATTCTTTAATAACTTCCAAAAAGCTTTTTAGTTAATATTTTTAAAAACTCAAGAAAGAAAGTTTATCGTATCTATCATTAATAAAACAAAATTTTCATATTGTTTTTTATAAATCATTTGTAGATATTGTCTAGTTAAGTGGTTAAAAAACTATATGTCCCACTTATTAAAGTTAAAAGAATAATTAAAAAAAACTTATTTAGAGTTATTTAGTCAACAAGTTCGTTCAAAAAACTTTGAATTGAAAAAAATATAAAATCATCAAATATATTTATAATAATGCATTCGTTGTTGGCCACTAACCACTATAGTGCACATCATCATACTACTTAGTGGTAGCTAGTGGTCATTATGAATTGTCGTGCAAACCACGAAAACCATATTCAATAGATTTTTGTTTTTTCTCTCTAACTTTCTCTATCTCTTTCTACAATAAGAAATATTTTTTTTTATTTAGAAATAAAAAATAAAAAGGTTATAGTGATGGGTATATCAGATAATTTAAGTTTTTTTTATGTAAAAAAGCCATGAAAAAACTCAATATTGATGCTAGGGGGAGACACATTTTTATAGTTTATTAATATTAACTTTTATATATTGAGAGCATATATTTATTTGTCTTTTCTATTGATCATATATATATATATATATATATATATATATATATATATATATATATATATATATATATATATTAATTTATAGTTTTTTATATTTTTTATTTATTTACTCATTAAATATTTCTATTAAAATTTTAATGTGAAATATAAATTTATAATGATTATATAATAGTTTTAAGTTTTATTTTAACTTATGACGTAATAATTTTTCAAACAATATATTATAATATATTTAATTATTCAAAATATGACTTATATTTAAAA